TAAAAATACATGGGACAAATTTTGTGGGAAATTCTGTCAATTTTATGGGAAATATGCTATCTAATAGGATAAACTAAAAGCTGGAATCGCCTATTACTAATGTAAAGAAAATGTTGGGCCTGTTGGTTGAGTAGAATGCAGGCAGCCACGTACAAATTTCATGTCAGCAGTATATATAAATTATAAATAGCCTGGTGTCAAATCTCTGAAATGTCCTGAAAAACTACCTCTATTGCTCGGAAATAAGTATAATAATGATATAATCAATTCTTGAATATCAGCATAATTATTAAAAAAACGTAATGATTTGGCTTACCATCATCACAAGTAACGGTTATTGCTTTTGCTTCCAAAGCAGAACAGGAATGCCAAGGACGAGGATTTAAAACTCTTCCAATAATAGGACTAGATAGAAACATCCCATCCTTATAAGAACAAAGAGTGCATGATATATAGTTTGCCATTGAACTGCTTGCTGTCATTAAATACGACAGGCATGCGCCGTGCATGTATTCCCATTGGCATTGCATTGTGCTTTATACTTTTAGAGATTAAGTTAAGCATTAGAGTCTCCAAGCTTAAGGACAACCTCTTTTTAATCATTAGATTAACAAAAGAGTCTCCACTTATCTCAATGCACCATTGTTGACAACTAATAAAACATTAAGCCTAGAACGCAAAGAACCATGCATGCATCATGAATGCATAAAAAGTAATACACACTCTAAGACCATATCTAAAGATTATATATACTGACCTTCCACTGTTCAACAACATGGAATACACATTTATTGCTATGCAATAACGCTATGCAAGATTCACAAAAATAGTTTCCTATGCCACATTTCAGGCAACGGTAGCTTGTACCATCTGTTCTGCAATTAGTACACATTTGGCCAACTGGAATGGACTCAGATTCAATTGCTGCCTTAAGTATTTCGTCTCTCACGTTTTCCCACTTTTTTTGCCGAATTTTGCTGTCGTTTGCTGTATACAGGTACTCTTTTGGGTATTTTCGTCATCCACGCTACTGTCACTATCAATCTCATTTGACAGCTCTCCTTCGTCGAACACAAATGGGGCTGAAATCTTGGCATTATCTTCAACAGGGATATCTTCGTTCACTCTCACAGATGCATTAACAATATCTTGTTCTTCTTGGATGGTAAATGCTACTTTTCTTCGCAAGGCGACGCATCCGTGAAGGAAACAACGTCAAAAGTGGGAAGGTTCCTTTTAATGTTTTGTCACATATTACAAGTATAACTGTACAGTTCAAACTGATTTAAAAGCTCTGTTTTAGCGACATACTAAATTTTTTGCTATGCTGTCATACCATTTTATTCAACTATATATGCCGTGCAGATAGTGCGAATCTAAATTATAGTACAGATTTCACATGACGTACTATCCTACAATCTACTTAACGCCCCATGACGTGCACAGAGCACACGTTTTCTTGTTAGCATTTATGTTATGGACACAATTTGAAAGGCATGGAATTAAGTGTGGTTCCTGTTCTGAAATAAACTTTGTTGCATTTTTCATCCCTGCAAAAATCACACTTTGAGAGCCGCAAATAAGAATGGAAATAAGATTCCTATTGAAATTAGTATAAATAGCGTGAGATTGTAAATGGCGCAAGATTCGAATCACATTCCAATCTGAAATAGCATAATCAGTGATTCTCTATAATAATTTTACAATTTCGGGTTTTTCACACTTTCCGACAGAATTGCTAGCACACAATTTGCGTGATGCATTGTCTTAGAATCTGCAGTACAGATTTAGTTTGCATGCGTCTTTGCACTCCCTGGGGGAAATAACACATTTTCCAAATTTAGCATATATTAGCGCCACAACAAAATCAAACATGCAAGCACACGCTTTATATATGATTGATTAGTGCACGCTTTATATGTCATAGTGAAAATACAAAACAAGCGCAAGCTTTATTTGTGAGTCAAAATAGTCACTTGTATACGCGCATTTAACTTTTTACATAAATCACACGTTTTGGTGTACTACAGAAACTTTGTGCAAAAAAGACTTATTTAGTTTCATGACAATTGTACACTAAATATTCAACGAATATAGCTATACTATAGAAGAATACAAATTTGAAAACAGATATAAGAAATGTGAGAAATAATTTGAACTCCATGAAGAAAAACGTTCACATACACGGAATTGAGTTCCAAGTGAAATCCAACTAGCACAAATGTCGTCGTACACCAAATAAGGTTCATATTGAAATTAGTATAAATGGCGCGAGATTGGAATTACATTCCAATCTGGGTTAGTATCAATGGCGCGATATTGGAATTAGATTCCAATCTGAGTTAGTATAAATGGTGCAAGATTGGAATTAAATTCTAATCTGAGTTAGTATAAATGATGTGAGATTGGAATTTGATTCCAATCTGAGTTAGTATAAATGGTGCAAGATTGGAATCACATTCCAATCTGAAATAGCATAATCAGTATGGCGATTCTCTATAATAATTTTACAATTTCGGGCTTTTCATGCTTTCTGATAGAATTGCTAGCATATGTTTTGCGTGATGCATTGTCTTAGAATCTGCAGTACAGATTTAGTTTGCATGTGTCTTCGCACTCCCTAGGGGAAATACCACATTTTCCAAAATTAGCATTTATTAGCGCAAGGACAAAATCAAACATGGAAGCACATGCTTTAAGTGTGAACGATTATACGTAGTCTGAAATAGTCACTTTCATGTACACACGCATTTAACTTTTTGCATAAATCACGCGTTTTGTTGTACTATAGAAACTTTGTCAGTTGTACACAAATTTGAAAACAGATATAAGAAATGTGAGAAATAATTTGAATTCCGTGAAGAAAAACGTTCACATACAAGGAATTGAGTTCCAAGTGAAATCCAACAAGTGAAATTCATACAAATGTCGTCATATGGAAATAAGGTTCATATTGAAATTAGTATAAATGGCACGAGATTGGAATTAGATTCTAATCTGAGTTAGTATAAATGACGCAAGATTGGAATCGCATTCCAATCTGAAATAGCGTATAATCAGAAGATTCTCTATCAAATAATTTTACAGTTTCGGGTATGTCACGCTATTTGACAGAATAGCTAGCACACATTTTGAGTGATGCAGTACTGATTTAGTTCTTCGCCCCCTCCCCCCCCCCCTAAGTGGAAATAACACAGAAGCATTTATTGCCTCTATTGGAATCTAATTACGATTTTGTGTCATTTTTTCTAGTCAGAGGTGGACTCGCAGGCTTTAGTGAAATGCATCACATAGCGGTATGTGCTAATTAGGAAAGGTGTTGCACACGTCATGTTGCGTAAGTACCGATTGTTCGATAGTGTACGTCACACAGTAGCTGTACTATAAATTAAGGCACACTGCACAGTATTTTCCAAATTTCAAATTAAATTGAGTAGTTCTGTTTTTTAGTTTTACATTGGTCAATATTTTATAGTCGGATAGAATTTTGGTCGGAGTTCGTTTTTTTGGAAACTATGCCTTTCAGTGACTTGCAAAAATCGACCTTACTCACCTATTTTAGAAATGGCATGGTGGGAGTAGGGAGGAAATACTCAACTCAAATAAATGCTGCTGCTGCTGAAACAGGCTTGACGGAAAGGCAAATTGAGGTAATAATTATTATATGCATATTTTAAATTTATTAACAAGTGCTGCATATTATCGTTGTTGCATGGCATGCCACCAGAATGATTTTCAACACTTTAGAATTTTGAAGCCACCGGAAGGTTTCTTAATTTAATTAATCGTGTTTTTATTTATATGGTCTTTTTGTACTGCATAAACCCTTCCTTAGCATGGTACATTATGTATCTCTAAAATTCTTGCCTTTCAGTATTTTGGGACAAACATCAGGCCTTTTCTGTTTTCCGGTCCACACGAAATTAAAAGTATTCAACTAAATGTGAGCGACGCAAGTTAATTTGCTATCATTAGGACGTTATGATTTATTTATTTATTAAACATTTACACAGAATTGGATTACCAAAATGCTGTACAAGTCAAAGGACAAAACATTAGCCAATAACAACGGTACTTGCGATCGTATTCCGAGGAAACAAAGAATGAAGAGTAGTTGGAATATGTTTCAAAAAGAATTTGCTTCCAGCGAAGGTAATTTTTCTGTATTTCTCTATATATAGGTCCAGTATTTTAGGCAGAACAACATTTTGGGTAGCATTGCATGGATTCTTTAGCCTAAGGCCACCCAGAGGGGGCGAGGGCAAACCTTAGTCTTTGCAAAAAATTAGGATCAGCAACAGACCACAGTGCATTATTGTGTCACAATGCACGCGCATTAGCCAATCAAAATGTATGTTATATTATAATTCTATAATTATATTATAATTCTGCGAAAACATGCTATTAAATTTTTCAGTTCTCGTTTTACGTGGCCTACTATCTGAGTATAATTAGTAATTTTAATTATGTACTATCAGGCCCGGTTTAGACGCTGTGCTTTTCATGAGCCGAACTTAATTCATATTTTACTTGAGTAAAATAGGCGTACTTCCAATTTTGATTTAGACGGGCGTGCTTTTCATGAGCCGTACTTAATAATTTGCACTGCTTCACTTCGAAACCTGGGGCGAGTGACATTTCATAATAAGAAAAAAGGGTTTATCACATACAATCTTGGCATTTCTGAGCGTCTACAGGTTTGTGGTTATTAAAAATTTCAATTGCTTTTTGAAAAGCCTTATTACTACAAACATAGCATAATGCCTGGATATAATGTGTGGGAAAACGAGACCAATAGGCTTAGGGCGAGTTTTTCCATGTTATTCGAGTTCTCCCGAACTACTACAAGTGTTTCTATAACTATATGGGTCATAATAATAAATATTTTATATTTATTTCATAATATTATGTAACTAAAAAAAGATTTGTATATTTACAAATTCTCATTGCATAATAATGCCGACCTTTGCTCCATCAATTTAATGCAAGAAACCTTTTTGCCTTTATTAGCAAATATCGCTATAAGCCTAATTTTGCAACTTTTATGCAAAGAGTCTAACAAAAGGTGTATCCTTAGCTACAAATTGACGTATATAAAGAAAAGAAAGGGAAATTCTACCGCAATATTTGCCGATAAAGCGGGATTAAATCACTACAGAAAAATTGAACAAATTACAGAAATATAAAACAAGGCGGAAGTGGGAAGGTTTTTGTATTTTGACCGTATGAAACAATTCCTAATTTGCATTAAAATTGTTTTGTTTACGATTATAAGTTTAGGCGGGAAATTTCCCGTGTAGAAACACGCTTCTCGACCAATAAACACACAGGGTAGGGGTAAAACGCCGGAACAGAACAGACCGGCGGAACCGGAATGGCAGAACCGGAAAAATGGAAACGGAAAAGAGGGTAAAAAGCGGAAAAGGGGGTAAAACGCGGAAAAGCGGGTAAACGCGGGAAAAGAGGGTAAAACGCGGAAAAAATGTTTTAGAATAGTTTTTTCTTTACAAGGTAGGTATGTAGCTTGGTAAAACTATATTTATTTAAAAAGTATACACACTAGTCCCTTCAACTATGATTTCCACGAAGGGGTGTGTGTTATGTCATAAAAAAGCTACATACATTTACGATATTCTGATACTATTAACAACCCTGATAACTCAAATATTAACCTCAATTAACCTACATAACTACTGCGGTGTATAATAATAGTAAAAAGGGGGGCCCAACATGCAGAGAGGGGCCCCTGGAATGCTGGAATTGTGGAACGTGGTAAATATTAAGGAATTTTCTGTAAAATTGAAGTAAAAAATGGTATGAATAACTACATTTAAGCACCCATTTAAGCCCGAGATTGCAGGATTGATTGTGTTTGCTTATTTAGTAAAGATCTACTAAAACCAAAATCTGTGACTTTGCAGACAATTGGGCAATTAGCATAGATGTGCACAAATGTATTTTTGTCTTTCTGGCAATAGTGCTGGTTGGAGACCAAAACGTTTTCAGTTTTTAAGTCTCTATGAGCGATACTGTGGTTGTGGAGGTAATCGAGTGTGTTTACCACATCCCTAATACATACGACAAGAACATCGGCGAACGATTTGAAATCAAATTCATGGTCAATGAAGTGGTAGAACTCTCCAATATTGGTGACGCTTTTTGTAATTCCGAAGGGTTGAAAATCAAACATTACATATTCCATCATTAATGAATATGAGTTTTCTGTAAATCCTAAAAACCCAGGTATACTTTCGTGTTTCATTTCAAAAAGCAACTTTGCTTCCTTAAGAAATCGGTCTTTGGGAATTGACGATTCGCCTTTAAGCTTTTTAACGACAACTGTCTCCTTGTCATAAATTGTGCAGTGTATAGATCCATAGCTACCACTGCCAATTTCCTCCACGTTTCTTAAAGAATTCCAGCTAAATGTTGGCAAACCATGATCGATTCATCTTTTCTTAATGAGCGATGGAACTTTAAAGCTTCCCAGTTTCGACATTTTAGTTGGCAATTAGGCATGAACATGTGCCCAACTTTTTTATTCAGGATTCAAACCATGAATTTCGTTCGTTTAGACTTTAGACACTTACACAATAGATAGTTAACATCGGCGAGAACTTTGAAGAGTTGTAAAAAGAAGAAACGCTTGAAGTATCAGTTAAACTAGTCCTTTCGTTAACTGTGACTGTCAAAAGTATAGTGATAAATGAAATAACATTACCCTGTCAGTTATATGACACCATAACTTGTATTTAATTAAGTCGAGTCAGCATGTTCCCCAATGACCCGTGAGAGTTATTTGAAAGCAAATTTTTGATGATATTTACCATTTTACCTTTCAAAACATAACATTTTGTCACTAAATACGTCACGTTTTGCACTTTTTGCGTGTGTAAACATACAATTTTTTAACGGATTTTCAAATAAGATTTGCGCGCTGCAGGCAAGTTTTCTTTGCACCAACAACATGTTTCCGGGTTATTTAAATATCTAACAATTTGATGAATTTGGTCGTTGAAATGGTGTACACAGTTCCTTAGATTTGTGAAACATGTTGTCTAAACTGTATATTTCAAGGAGTTGAAACAACTCTACAAGAGTTCTTCTGTCATCGTTTTTGGTGACAGAATAAAACACTCGGCGGAGTTAATTCAACTCTTCGAAATTTACAGTGTATGCAAAGAAAACTTGTATTGACAGCGCACTAATCGTTCAGGCCTTAAAATATCGGTCGGTCATGGACATTGTCTGACCCATTCGTGAAATTGTCCGACGTAGAAAGGAAACCACCGGACATTCTGTCCGACCTAAGTGAAACTGAGGTTTATTGTTTGTCCGACCTGAGTGTATTGGTGTCCGACCTAACTGTAGCTTTGTCCAACGTAAATCAAAATGTACCTTAGTCCAGGACTAGAGGCTTGTATGTTAAATAGAGAATCAGAGTACTATTGTATAAAAGGTGAACTGGAAATGTTGTTTTAACGTAGTCGAGCGCGGGGCGGCGAACGAAATGGTGAAGTGGAAAAATGGCTTAAGTTGTCGAAGTCTTTTTTAATACTGCTGTTCTGGAAAGCAAGTTAATTTTAGCTTGGAAATAAGTATGAAAGAAACAAAATTTAACTTTCTTCACAACATTTACAGTACAGAATTAATACATTGTGCTCACATTCATTTGTGTCATTCAGACTTATTTCCGAGTCAAAACTGAACTGAAGGTCATCGGACATATGTCGGACCCAAACTGAATGTCACCGGACATTTTGTCAGACGGTCCTGTGAAAGATATTTTAAGGCCTGATCATTATGTATTTAGTGTCAAAATGTTATGTTTTTAAATATATGTATCATGAAAATTTTTGCAGACTCAACGCTTGCATAGATAATACAGTATAGACTATCTCTATAAAGCGACTAAGCCTATGGGCTGTGGCAAGGTGTTCGCACTGAAAGCGATTAGCCAATTACTGCGTAGGTGGTATTCTTTGTCAAACCGCAAGTGTTTTTCTCAAATTATCCGGTTCCGTTGGCGTCAAGTCGGCATTTCTTAAATAACAGACTTGAGGGATTAATTACTGACCCACTATACTTATCCAGTAATGGCGAAACAAATACGGCCCCTACTACCCACAATGTCAGATTCACTTTTCACATGGAGGGGGGCGGGGGCAGTGGATTCTGGCCTTTACAATATCAACGTTTTTGTGCTCACTGCATGCAGTATGCTTTTATTAACGAAGTTTGCACCAGTAACACCCTTCAAAAACGCAAATTAAATTTAAAAGTATTTAAGTCACAGGTTTGCTTGGGTGAGATGACGCCACTTTGATCACAGTAACTTTGATGGTGTAAACCAGCCTTTACATAGTAGGTGTATGATTGTTAGTCGGTGGGCATATGATGTAAGACGTCATTGGGTGAAGAGAGTTTTGATGTACAAAATTCTTAATGAGCAGTATGCTCCAAGTGTTAGAGGAAAATTTATAATAATTAAAGATCTTAATAGAGAATATAATCTTCGAAGTAATGATACTGATCTAGCACTTCCAAAACATAAAACAAACTATCTTAAACGAAGTTTTAAGTATAGTGGAATAGTCTTCCTTCTGAGGCGAAAAAGCATCTTTGCTTTACAAAAGTAAATGCAGTATGTCCACTATACTCGGTGCCTAAATTACTTTCAATTTGTACTCGAGTAAAAGTAGAAGTAATTAACAATAAAACGACTTGAATAAGAGTAAAAAGGACTGGAAGCAAAACGTACTTAAGTAAAAGTACAAAGTATCCTTTAAAATACTTGAAGTAAAAAGTAAAAGTACTAATCTACTATTGTCTTTGGTGTGTAAGGGGGGTGGGACTTCTCCAATGGATTGACATACAAAACAACACACGCATTATATAAATATATGCGTGCACCTAATATACAATATTTCTCGGCATGGTCTACTCTCCAAATCCCGTTGAAGATATAAGAAATCCATCCAGAGGAATGTAGAGGTCCTATTACCTACCCCAAAATTAAAATAAATCCTGAATACATCACGTAAAATTAAACAAAAGTTAGACATTTACAGTAACAAAATACTTCGCAAGATGATGAAAATAACTATAAGTAAAACGTTACTTCTTTAATTAAACGACTTCGTTCCAAGTAAAAGTACTCCAAAGAAAGTTTACTTTGTCACATGCCAACTTCTCAAAAATAGAACTCAAGTACAGTAATGAGGTACATTTACTTCGTTTTATTATGGTATTTAATTAGATTAAATTTGATTTTGTTAGTATAGATAATTATGCGATGTTGCTCGTACAATTAGGGATTAATAGTACAAGTGATGTTTGGAAGTTTTGCCAAAATTGGACAAGCCGCCGGGGCGAGTCCAATTTGGCAAATTTCCAAACATCACAAGTACTATTGATCCCTAATTGTACGAGCAACATCGCATGATTACTTGTTTATTATTAGCATGACAACATTGCATGATACGTACTTCTCAATGTCAACATCATATTCTCTCGCCAAAGCCCAGTCCTGCCAGACTTTCAACCAAAATTTGGTGCTTTTGTTTGTATTTTCATTTAGTTATTTTGTTCAAGCAAAATTTGGTGCTTTTGCTCGTATTTTCATCTAGTTCCACCACGGCAATTTCATTTCACATTTGTGTTTAAAATGCCTTTCCGCCATTTTGTTTGTTTTGGGAAAATCATTAATTGTACTGCAGTACAATTAATGAAATAATTGTACTCCTCTCAACCAATCAACATCCAGTAATTTTGTCATGCTAAGTTTCAAAGTTTGTTTTCTGCGTTTTACCCTCTTTTCCGCGTTTTACCCCCTTTTCCGCGTTTTACCCTCTTTCCCGTGTTTTACCCTTGTTTCTGTGTTTCCGGTTCTGCCATTCTGGTTCCGCTGGTCTGTTCTGTTCCGTTTCCGCGTTTTACCCCTACCCTCAACACACACGTAGTATAAATGTTCTATTTTATCATAATTTATGCATTTGGTAAGGCTCATGTAAAGCACGGCAGTATAAATCAACATGTGCTTCAGCCGTGTAGCACGCCTGAACCAGGCGAACTTATTAATTTAGCCGTGCTTAACATTAAGTGCAGTGCTTAATTGATTTAGACGCCGTGCTTCTCATGTGCTTAATTCATTGTATTAAGTTCGGCTCATGAAAAGCACGGTGTCTAAACCAGGCCTTACTTTTCTTTCGGCTTCATCTCTGCTTTTTAGCCAAAATATATAAGCAAAAATATAGAGCTTTTAAAATACGAAATCAAAATGCTGGGAGGCATGCGCTTATGAGCTGAGGCATTTACTAGGACCATGGAGTCAGTATTTTGAAGACGAATCTTGGTGTGGCAGCGTTTCGCTCTTTTGGCTGAGTCAACCTTCTGTGTCTTTATTCTGTGACAGGGTTCACAGGCATTAAAAGCATGCGCGTGACGTCACTGAGTACATGATAAGAGAACTGCAAAGTTGATCGTTTGAGTAAAATTGTTTGCTATGTAGTATCGCAGTAGCGGAAATTCACTTTTTCCGGGGGGGGGGGCAAAGCCTCCAAAATTTCGACACCCCCCCTATTTGCGCTCGAAAAGGCTGTTTTTAGCCCTCTTTTAGGTCAAAATTTCTGCAATTCGTCATTTTCCATAAAGGGGGGGGGCGGGGTGGTCGCCCCGCTGCCCCACCAAGATTAACGCCACCGTAATATCATCTGCTTATTATATCATAGAACAAATAGAAAAACTAGTCTCGTGAGTTTATGAGGTACAATATTTTAATGTTGGGATAGGTAATAGCCATAGGACCTCTACATGCGTCTTGGACATTGGTTAGTGGTTTACTATAACCATTATTTATTAATTAATTAAATTGATTTCTTATATTTTCAATGGTGTCTGCATGGAAAGTAGTAGACCATGCCGTGAAATATTGTATATTAAGTGCACGCTGCCACTACATAACCTGCGAACAGGCAGGGACGCCGGAACTGGGGGAGCAGGAGGGGCAGCCGCTCCCGTTGCCCTTTACCAGGAGGGGCAAGGGGGGCAAAGGTGCCCTTTCAATCTAAAGGATTGCCCTGGCGAAATAGCGAATTGTCAGAAATGTTAGTGCAATTCTTTTACGAATTTGCTTCAGAAAACGCAAGAAATGCAGTCATCGAGCTTCTTCAAGAATAGCACAATCGCCTGGCGGAGAACCCCCTCACACCCCTATCATCCAATAACTAGAAAACATGGTTAGGCGAAGTTCAACTCCCGATGTTTTGCAAACATCTCTTAGTACATATCAAGTCAAAAGTGCCCTTTCACGAAACTCTGCCCCCCTTGCCTTCACATTGTTCCGGCGTCCCTGCAAACAGGCATACTCTGGGAACGAGATCGAGTGTCAATTATTTCTGGCCTTGACCTTAATTGGAATTCCCCCTATATGACTGAGTCAACTCTTGCTCTTGTCTGTTCTTAACCCGATATAGTCATACTCGTGGTCAGGTTTTTCTCTTTACTTTTGAATTACTATTATATGTTATTTTACAACGGTAAGCCCTTGAGTGAATTACGGGTGATTTTTAATTTTTTTTTTATTAGTTTTACAATAAGAAATTGAAGGCACAGACAACAGGACTAATAAAGTCCCAAATTAAGTCCTTGGCATACATGAAAATACTACGCTATACTATGCTATACTATGCTATAAACGGTTATAAAATTAACAAAATACATAGCTAGTTTCCTATTTACAGTATTACACATAATTACATTCGTACAAAAACTCAGAACATGCACTTCTACGAACAACAAGACATAAAACAAGAACGACATTTAGAGCAAAACGTTTTCCAAGTCCTTGGCCTATTAACATCAAAACATGCATTAATTTTTTGAGTGTAGTGATTATAGAGTTTAAGTTTCAGTGACTGAATAGAGAGAGAGGATTTTATTTCTCCTGGCAGGCTGTTCCAAAGTGGCACTATCCTATTGAAAAATAGGTTTCGGAAAGAAGATGTTCTGCAACGGTTTGGTCGGTATGAATCAGTAGAGCTAAAGCGAGTGTGATGATTACTAGAATTGTCCAGAATATAGACTTCAAGTGTTAAGTCATAATAACCAGCTTTGCATTTATAAAAAAACGTAATATATATATATTTTCAAGGGGCCGCCGTTGCTAAATTAATGAACAAAAAACAACACATTACATATTTTACATCTTATACTGTTATAGATGAAATTCTAGGAAAGGGATAAAATGTTAAAAAAGGTATTACTCTATTTACAAGTTCGTTCTCAAGCTCGTGCAAAATCTGATTCGTTACTGCGAAGGTTACTTATAGTTTTTATTGTTGCTTGTGTTAAACATGCTCATCAGGCATTCGAGAAACTCATTATTTCTTATTTTATACATATATAATCCCCTTTTGTCTTTTCTTCTCAATTTCTTCGGTTTAGCAACGGTACTGCCATCCTAAGTTTTTTTAAAATCTCACTTGAACGAGTTTCATAGGATTTTACAGAATTTGGTAGTTATACTTCATCAATTGGATTATTCGGTCGATGACAATACCTAATGTTTTTGCTTGTTTAACTCTTTGTATATCAATACCATCAAGACTTATCTCAGGATCGTCATCAATTTTCGTCAACTGCTGCCGAGAGCTAATTATCATATACTCTGTTTTCTCTTATGAATATTTTCTTAATCAGAATTTAACTGGTTTTGTATATCTTCTATGCATGGACTTCCCAGACGTTGTTAAATTCGTATCGTCGGCGAACACACTAGCTTTTGAATGAGATGATTGGGAGGTCATTTACGTAAAGCGAATGACATATTCCTGGGATATAGTACGACCAATTTTACACTTAGATTTGTTAAGTACAAATGTACAATTTAAACCAACAAAGTGTATTTTCACTGCACCCATAAAACTTCATAGTTTTCTAATTAGAATATCGTGATTTACACAATCGAAAGCTTTTTAAGGTCTAGGAAAATAACTCAGTCTATCTCTGTCCATGTTAGCATTAGAATTGTAGAATTGAAAAGCGATGTTTCTGTTGAGTTTTTCTTCCTATAAAACCTGCTTCTTATTGTGTGAGTATGCCTTTTGTTTCCAGAAATGTTGACAATGATATGTTGATCTGATATGTTTTTCAAAAACTTTAGCTACAGCTGAAAGTACTGAAATTGGCCTATAGTTATTGCATTAAAGATTGGTGATATAATTCGACCTCTAGTTAAAGTCGTCTGGAAAAACACCAGTCAATGGCGATTTATTAAATATTTGAGTCAGGCTAGAGGTTACCCACCAATATAAAACAATCCTTTTTAATATACTATGTACTTAATTTCAGAAGGAAAACAAAGTTTGAGTGATGGGGGATAAGTACGTTCAACAAGGCTGCCTCGGAGAAATTCCAAAGCTTGGCAGACGATGATAAATGTCAGCTATTTGTCAATGCAGCTCAAGTGCAGGTTAATGAGACGCCAACAGAGTCACAAATTGGGAAAAAATTACCGACATTTTTAGTAAAGTCCAAGACAGAACGGTAAATAAAAGCAATTTTTGCCACTTTGTCAGTTTTTTAGGGTTTTTAATTTTAATTTATTCGACGAAGAATTTCATGATTCATGCCCATCCCATATCCATGACCACAGATGATAGTTTACAGCAATATAATTCCTTGCCACGATATCAAGGCATGCAATCCTGATGAATTTATAAGACAACTATATATATATATTCTATTTTTTACTATAGTGCCCGCAACTAGAAGAGTATGGTTGTCGAGCATTTCTAATTGGTTTTAGAAAGGGAAAATACTTTATAGCTGCCCTTCAGAATGTCACTGAAAAGCTTGAGAAAGATACAGTAAACGTGATTTACACAGATATTTTTTCGAAGGATAACTCTTCAGCCTTAGGTAATATGTACTGTTCTTGTTACCGATTTATATGATTCTATTGGCAGGTAAACTAAAATAATGTCAAAAGGCTAGTGGTTCCAATCCGTCTATTCCCCTTCAGCTTCTATTTTACCTTTTCTTTACATTTAGCAACAGCCAAAGAATAAGAAGATGTCCTGCGCAAGGAAGTCCTTCAATTCCAAATACCGTAAGTTTCAAGATTCGTGGGCACAAGTTCATTTTTTTCATGAAACATTAATTAAGCTCCAGTCATCTTTCGGAAATCTAATATTTTTCAAAACTGATTTAACTAGTATATATTTCAACAAAACTAACCACAAATAAATTACACGTTGTGTAATTAGCAGAGGAAGAATTAGAAAAGGTGAAATTCGAGCTTGAATGATTAATTAAACAAGAGTGCATCATACAAAATAAAGGATTGTAGGGCTAGGGGCGTGTCTATTAGACGGCCGGCCAAGTCATCAATTTGTACAACTTGATGGCAACTTTATGTTAGAAGCTGGTAACAGGCATTTTCTTATAGTTCAAGCCTTGGTGAACAAGACTGTGTGTGTTACCACTTCTGATTTTTGCTTTATAGCCAAAAATTTGAGAATTTTTAAATTTTGCCTATTAAATTACTATGATCGGAAAAAATGTAAAATTCCATGTTCTCTTATACGAAAAATAAACTATACCACTAGAAAGAGTGTAAAAAACTATATATAAGACAATTAAGTGAGTTCTATGTTTTTCCAATCCTATTTCGAGTTTTTAATGTTAAAAAATGCAGAAATGACCAAATTAATGCTAATTAGTACCCATTTTTCCAACTTTAACCATCTTTAATTCAAAATCGGCTTGAAAATCGCACTAGTCGCTTAAGTTGTCTTATATATAGTTTTTTACGCTCTTTCTAGTGGTATAGTTTATTTTTCGTATAAGAGAACACGAAATTTTACATTTTTTCCGATCATAGTAATTTAATAGGCAAAATTTAAAAATTCTCAAATTTTTGGCTATAAAGCAAAAATCAGAAGTGGTAACACACACAGTCTTATTCACCAAGGCTTGAACTATAAGAAAATGCTGTTACCAGCTTCTAACATAAAGTTGCCATCAAACTCTCTTTAGAGGCACTTTTTGCCACCTTAGCCGGCCGACTATATGGTATATATTAAACGTCTGTAGCTTCAAACATGTACTACAACTCAATTCACGCGGTTCTTTGGCTGATATTCCATATACGCATATATTTTTATTGGAACTGCCTCACCCTGATACTTAGTGTGAATCATATCAGAAAATTAAGGCATAATTCATAGGCGTTTACTCCAGTGAGCTTCAATTATCTTGTATATGCATTTTCCTCCGTTGTTGTCTACTTGTTCATTTTTCATTGTATATATATACCCTATTCCCAGCTAGCACATAACGTTATTACAACATTGGTAAAAGGTTGTTGCAAAGTTAGATCTAACTTAACTTTCACACGACGTTCACACAACATTACTTTTCTATCCGGAATAAGAGCACATGGTGTAAACGTTGGTTTAACGTTGAAATTTAACGTTCCAGGATGTCATGCGACACCTTCTTAGCAATGTTAGATTTCAACGTTGTAGCAACGTTAATGTGTAACGTTTGGACGTGACATCAAAACAACGTCGTCCTGACGTTTAAGATTTGATATTTTCGCAACATTCCAGGATGTCATACGATATCTTCATAGCAATGTTAGATTTTAATGTTGTAGCAATGTTAATGTGTAACGTTTGGATATGACATCAAAACAACGTCGTAAACAACGTCGTCTTGACGTTAAGATTTGATATTTTCGCAACGTTCTAAAAAAATTAAACATATGTCTTCTATTATTGAACCTGACAGTTAAACTATAGGTATAAAACCGCATCAGGCCATATGACTTCTTATGCCTATTCAGCAGGAATCGCGAGGAACGTCACCTTGGTTAGTTCTTACTGGAAATTTTGTCCTGAAAACGTTTTATCCAGCTGATTTTAAGCCAGACAGTAGGCCTTTGTATTTGGCAGCTTATCAACAACTCGCCAAATATGGTAATTCTGACCATATATACGTAAAGTGTTTGCGCCGCGGGCAAATTGAAAAGATTACACCATTGTTCTTGGCTTGCGACGCAACTGAAATGTATGCCGACTCTGTAATCTCATCGAAGCTGCTGTATATTTCAGAAGAACTCGCTCGTCTGTTTTGTTTTCGATGTAAGTATATATATTGTATCTGTAACATTTGAAACTTCCATGTGTCTATCTCATGTACGGAAAAAAGGCGAACAAAGTATGTTTATTTTGATATGTGTCAGCATGTTTGTTTGACGCCATATTAATTTACATTTTACAGTGCCTCTCTTGAATCGAAGATATATTTCAGGAGTACTCGTTCATTTGTCAATGAAATCCAAGAATGACTAATTAGTATACTGTATATATTAGATATTGAACTGCCTGTGCCAGTGTAGGTGGGAATGCAACTAACTGAAAGTACATATAACGAGAACTAGAAGAATTGTGACGTTTCGAAATTTTCCTTATATTGTTCAGGTAATTCTGTAATTTAAACTACAGACTGTTATTCAAGCACAGTAAGTCAGTATTACGTATGTCTATTAAGGAAATAAAATGTGGCCTAGAAAAAGTTCTGTCGCACAAGATTGTTCAGGTAGTTACATCCCTACCAAAGAAAGCTTGTTCGTATACTGAATTAAATATTATTGTCAATATTCATCCAAACTATAAATTGGATCAGTAATTTTAGCCTATATTATTTGTAAATGAAGCTCTTTCCTTAAATAAAATGATTAAATCAAAGACTTTAGTCAATTGTCCTAACATTGTCACAACATTCCTGCGAGTTCACAAAATAACGTTACTACAACGTTAATTTTCAACGTTTTCTGGATGTTAATCAAATGTTGTGAGAACGTTGAACCAACGTTGTGTTCTAACGTTAATCAAACGTAAGAACGTTGAACCAACGTCGTGTTCTAACGTTAATCCTGACGTTGTCACCACGTTCCTGCGAGTTCACAAAATAACGTTACTACAACTTATAATACCAACGTTATCTCCACGTTCGGCGAACGTTCGTACAACGTTGGCACAACGTAATTGTGCTAGCTGGGTTATCCCACATATTATTGCAATTTGGGGAAAAATATGGAATAAAAAACGACGTTCTATGAGTGCATGCGCCTTTATCTAGAGCGCGCTTATATGCCAGTTAGTAGGCTACATAATTATATTGATTTCAAATTGCATATGTTTTTAAAATATTAAACTTTCCAATCAAGTCCATTGTTTAATTTATTTATAGAAGAAGCAACAGGACTAAAAGGACCATTCCCGTATAAAAGGCAGCTAGAATTTGATGTCGAAGGTTTACCTGGTTTATTAGCATTCCGGAAACCAAGCGGATATGGAACCTCCCAACTGCAGTCCATATTACAGTGCAAAGATAAGATAAAATTTAAAAGAAAGGAAGTCAATGATCGTACCACCAGTGCCTTCACTACCGACGCCATCACCATCACCGACTCAGTCAGCGTCCCCACACCATCAATGACCCAAACAATCATGACTCAAACACTATCAATGACCAATGTTAACAACCCAAACGCAATCAGCAACCCAAGCTCCCTTCATGACCATGTCATCACAAGCGATCAGAACACCCTGAACGACCCTCACGCTATCAACAACTATGAAATCCTTCCTGACGGTACCGTTCCTTTCACAGATACCATCACTTCCACATTCGCAACTGCAGAAATATCGGTAACAGCAGGAACATCCACAACAACATCCGCAGAAACATCCACAACAGCAAGAACATCCACCATCAAACCTTGGAATATAGGATATAGAAAAAGAAGAGTAAAGCCACACATCAAAAGTATATCTTTTAACTTTTATTACTGTACATTGTAACCACAACGCGTCATTTGAATTATCAAGGTGTCAGTAAGTGTTATCAATCTAGCCTTCCGCCTTCGGCTCGACTGATAACACTTACCTCGACTATAGACCATACCCATTATGACATTTCATGGCATAATTTAACTACTAAGACCAGAATACTTTGCTAGCTTCTTGGTTAGAAAGCCAGAAAATACTGGTAATTGAAACATTCTTGTCTTAGTAGTTAAATTATGCCATGAAACGTCATAATGGTATGGTCTATTCTAGATATCACAAAGGTCTCGTCCAATAACTGTTTATTAGCGTGATTTTAGAATTATGTGAAATGTTGCCATGATTAGTTCAATTCATATACGATTTTTGCTTTATTAAAATTCTTAGTTTATCCATTCTGGACGGAGGTATATATAAATGCTAAAGGTGGCCCAGTCGTAGGCGAAGGAATTATTATTCCTGGATTTAATGTCAAAGATGAGCAAGTCTTGCCATTTAGTGGACTGTACAGAAAGATTTTTGTGAAAAAAGTATATGGTATGATAATACGAATATTAAATATGATAATAATCAAATAATTATACGAAAAATAAAAATGCTATCAGCCATGTGATGAAATGTCCTAGTATGCGAGGACCTCACGCTGAGCTACACGTAAGCATTGTTATTGTTCATAAATACATTATCATTGTATTTATAGAATGCAACAAAGACCATGATTTAATTGCTGGAGAATACATTATTCGCTCTTGTGTGCTTCTCACTCCAAAACATACAGAATGTGTTGAGGGTATCGGAAGCCTGGTCAACATTGAAATATGCAAAGACTTCCGACATATTAAAGATGACAGCAAAAAAGAGGAACTCTGCTCCACATTAGCTTGTCAGTGTCCTACTTCTACAGAAGTGGAATGGGTGCGATGTGAAAATACAGACTGCAAGAAGTGGTACCATATACATTGTGTTGGTGTTGCCAGGAAAGAAGAGTTGCCTGAACGATGGTGGTGTGGTATAGAGACATTCAATGAGAATTACTTCTTTCGGTAATTATAAAGCATATGTACATCAATATCTGACAACAAGCGGCATTAAGAATTATGGCATTAAGAATTATTTCTATTCTGACTCATTAACGCGACCTCGCAATCTGAAAAATAAGTACGTTATTTTGAGGCACCTGGGGGATATGTGTTTATTCACCTCGGCGCTGCACGCCTCGGTGAATAAATCACATATCCCTTTGTTGCCACAAATTAAAATAACCTATACTTACTTTACCGTCCGACACAGGGCTGGTACCGGTCCGATAGGTATCTGCCCGACATCACATCTACCAAGGGCATGTTATTAGTCAATTGCACGAGAGAGCGTACCAGCAAAGCATTTTTTTATTATATAGCAAAAAACACCTATACGAAAATCTAGACGGGATGCTACTAATTTTAGAAACAGCAGTTGAGGTAGGTGATAAATACTTGCAATATAATAAGTTACTTGCATTTTGGCATTTGATTGTTGTAATCATTGCAATACACCCTTTCGACAATTACGTCATTTGGCCTGGGAGCCTCGCTCTCATGAATCGTGAGCCAAGCTCCAGAACGAAAAGTATGTGTGACGGAATTATCGAAAGGGTGTATTAATAAGTACCATGGCGATTTCCACAAATCAAAACGAATATTACATTTATAATTTGATGTACGTGAACACCACAATCTCTATTGATGACCTTGTGTAGGGCCATTTAAAGATGGTGGTAACAAATGAAATCGGAAGTGTGAGGAATATGCTCTTTCATAAACATATATATATATATATATATATAGGCTGTAACTGTAATAAAACCCCGAAACAAATACAGCTTGCTGGGGGAAGATCGATAGAAAGTTAGATACTACAAGAAAACACTTTATTATTGTGATTTAAAATAAAACAAAGTTTGTAGTTGGAAGTGGAAATGAAAGTGATTAAATCGCTTAGACAATACATACAAAAATATTGAATTATAATTCAATTCAAATTAAGGTGCTGCGAGTAAAATGCCAACAAAATCTTGATTTATACAATGTTATTACTGCACAGTGTCAGGCCGACAGTGTCTAGGACGTTGTGTACAATAGTAACTTGAACTGTCTGCATGTACAAGTGTAGGTAGTTTCATTATCAATATAAACTTTGCTGTCATTTGTAGGAATGTAACTACCTGAAAAAAATAAGGAGAAACAAGATATTTCTTGCGAACGTCCAACGAAGAGCCTTTTTCAGGTAATTACATTCCTACCAATGACAGCAAAGTTTGTACAATAGCAACAAATTCTCGTACTTTCCAACCCATGGATCATTGCGAGCTTAAAGCTACATCATTGTCTACAATCACATTTCATGGACTGTATGTTTCATAATGTTCCTGGGGGTGCATGCCACCCCCTAGTGGGTCGCTTCGCCCCCCCCCCCTAAAATGAAGGTCTGGTTATGCCACTGTTGCCTCTTTTATGTTCAATGCTATGAAGTGTTCAGGATATGGAATACACAAGCATCATGTACACATTACTTTGTCTATTGAGTTGTCTCAATATTGATTGCTAAATATTATCATTTATTTACATTAGTTGATAAATATGGCATAATTTATGTATATATTTTTCATCTTGGTGTGTTAATCATTAGAAAGGGTATAAAATGCAAACAATGGGTAATTAAACCATAATAAAGGGCCAATTCATAGAATATCCTTACTGAAATGTCTTTGCTAAAAGGGTAAAATATCTGCTCATTCTTATAAGTCAATAAATTACACAGCTGTTCCATAATTATATTAACAGTTTTGGTATCAGTCGTAATTTGAATATTGCAAAAAATAATTTATTATATTTCATTATATTTCCAACCATTGATCTTGGCTGTCATTAAAACTGTCAGCACTACCACTGGAAAACCAGCATAAATGGACAGTAACAGTTTGATTCAAATATTATACCTGACAGATTGAAGTTGAATAGTTGATTAATATATCTTACAGACTGAGTTTGAAGTTGATTATATCTCATGTACCGTAACCCAATGACTGGCAGCACTCTCCCCTTGATGGGTAAAATTGTCTGGCAATAGACAAAGTAAAGAAATGAAGTGGCTGTATCAGGGAGCATTGTCACTTAATTAAAGGGTTAAAGGAAGGCAGCAATCCAGTATATTTCTTATTAATGTGGCTATGTTTATTCCATATACTGCATAATTTTATACCAAGTCTGCAATTTTAATCTGCAATTTATACTCATTTATATGCATTTTATACTTTATCTACTGTCTGTACATAGATTATACTGATCAATATAAACCAAGACTGACTATGCTGATCGTTTGTCAGCCCAACAGGGCTGAAATTTAACGTGAATATAATTTAATAATAATTCATTATAATGCCAAGTTAACAACATCAGATGTAGATGCTATAATGTTGGCATTGTGGATAGAAATCGGCGTTGCATACTTGCATTTTGTTGTCATCCTTGCGTAGCTGATATAAACCAAAATACAAATATACCAGTCGCATATTCATCCCGTTAATACTCCCGTACGTCCGTAAAACTGAAGAGGTTTTTCAAAATTGCACCTTCAACATTCAGTGTTGCAACCAATGCAAAAAGCAGAGAGAGATATCTATATTTTCAAGGTAGAATTGCAACGAATAATACACACATATCCAACACATTCACTTTGTAAATATATATTTCACTGCTATAATATACGTTCGAAACGTTTGTCAGTACTGCACATATAAAATAAACATAGTAAACTAGAAGACCTCAGACTTGTAATGTGTTTATTAATATTTATGCTGTTGAGTATTGTTTGACAGCAAATTTCACATACATTGGTGTTAAATATGTTCACTTCAATTCATGCCATTGAAATTCGATACTATAAATAATTAGAAATCGTCGCTACAGCAATAATCAGTATAAAATATATGATTTTTCAAAATGTAAAAAATATTGTCGAATACTCATGTATAGCACAAACTCTCATATTTTCGTTTTAAATCTTCACACAGAACCACTTTTACCATAAATACAAAAAGCAGCAAGAGCTGTATATATTGCCAAGCAAAATACCATCAAGGCATTGCAGCAACGCACACACAAACTCACCATCATGTTTGTTGTTCACACTTTGCACTGCTTGTTGGTCGCCATGTTGAACGCGCTGTGTTGACACACGGCAGTCTGGCACTAGTTTCTGGTGAGATTCTCAGATTGGCGAGATTGGTAATCTGTCTAGTAAAACACTGCGTCTGTCTCACCAATCTGACAGTATTTATACTGGCTAGATTACCGCTAACCGGGTGATTTTTTCCCCCTTTTTAGTGGAAAACAATTATTATATGTTTCACAGTATTTAGATTAAAAAACTCTCATATGCCTTTAGAGGATTGTAAAACCCTTCTAAATTTTGCCAATTAACATTTCTTAAATGAGGTAGGAATTTAGCTGCATTTGTTGCATTTTTATCACGGAACACTATACATGTGTCATCATCCCTATCCCATCAATTGTGATAGAGTAACACAGACTAAAAAACTCATTAATAATTCATGAAGAAAACACAAAGAGAAATCATAAGCGTGTCGTATCTGTATATGTGATACCGATTCATGTTGATTTACATAAACTTTAACTTTGATTTTCTCGGCTTAGACAAAGTTTATTTTTAAAATTACTTCGCCAATGAACTCATAAGATGAGTCGTTTTTTAAGTTATTTACAACATGAGCGGCCGTGTTGTATCGGATATACAAACTTGAGCCGAAGGCGAGAGTTTGTATATCCGATACAACACGGACGCGAACATATAGGCAAATGATCGGAAATATCCGAGACCAGTAAGCCATTAAAAGAATAGTACATGTAGGGAAATGATCGGAAATATCCGAGACCAATACGCCATTAAAAGAATAATTATCTGAGTGATTGGTAAATATGTTATCAATAATCGTAGCAGTATGTGACGTTATTCTTGTTGGAGATGTTATTCTTGTTGGA